AATTAGGACGGCTCCTAACACTTCCGTTTTCAGTGAAGTTGTACGATTTGAGCCGCGTGTTCATCTGTTACCGAACCGTGTGCATTCTTCTTTGGCCCGATCGCTTAGGTTATTGTGGAGATCAGTGTGCCACTGGAACTGTAGGTTCTGGCCCCGCTTTCGGTGTATGGGATTTGTCTAGTAGCAATTCCAGTGCAAGATTTGGGTTTGAATTTGGCACGCCATTACGTTCAGTGTGTTTGAGACGATTGGGGTAGCATATTCAAATGTCTAATCGTAGACGATATCACCGCACTTTCGGTAAACACGTCAAAAAAGTCTACTTTTCCTGAGTGTTTGTTTTTTCTAGCCATGTCTTAACTGGATGGAAAAGCACTGGCTTTAGTCTAAAGTATCGGTTGAATTGCTTTTCACTGCACGTCGTATGGACTGTTTTAGCGTCAACAGCAACGGATTACAACGGATGAATTATGTCGAATGGCATGCGAGCTTTCTTAGCATTAAAACTTCTGCAGGAGGTCGTTTGCAGCGTTCGGGTTTGGACGGCCCAGTAGTTCAGCAGGAAATGTTTCGGAATTTCTTCGGTCTTCCTTTGTCGCCGAAGCATGTGATCTGTCCGTTGGACTGCGTGGGATATTTTAGCGAACGCGATGGTTAATGTCCGATTGCTTGCCGATTTGGCAAATGTGGTTGATATTAATTGCCCCCCATCATCACTCATCGGGGTTTCGGGACAAATAAATCTGCTGAACAATCGCCAAAGAGTGTTGATTGGGGTTCCGGTTGTCGTGGGTTCCATGCTAATTACTTCCGGTAGTTGGATTTCAGCGTCAACGGAGACAAGAAATGTTTGGTCATTGAGCTATCTAGCATAATCTATGTGGACCCTGAACCACGGGGCTTTTGGTATAAGGCATGTCTTGAGTGTGCTATTTTATGCCAGAGCGCATTTAGTGCATGAGCGGGCCTGTTGTTCGAATTGTTTTTTATGTGAAGCTTGTACACATAACTAAGAGCGAGAGCCCTCATGCGGTCGATGCCCGGATATACGGGATGAAGCTGCCTCGGGACTTTTGTTTGCAGTTTCTGCGGAGTAACGACAAATTTGTAGAACAGGATACAGCCGTTAATGGTGGACAGAGAATAGCATTGATGGAACCGCTGAAATTCTCCAGCAAGTTTTTTGGGTCACTGAGTGTGATGTTACTTAATTTAATGACGTGTGTCAACAGTGGATCACGTTGGGTTGCGTTTCGAACTTCCTGAGAATTTTAGACGAATATTCGTATGCCGGGTGTTCGTATAAGTAAAGAAGAATAAGGCTCTTCGCTCGCAGGAGCTTTCAAACGCTGACTGGAGTCAGTATTCAAAGGTAATAATAGTAATAGTTAATTGTATGTTTAAGGCCGGGGGCCCATTTTATACCAATTTAGTGATCTGGTAAAGATAAATACAAATTTGGTAGTCATAACTGCGTGCAAGCAAATGTATAAGCAATAAAAATGAGTATTAAATCATATCCGGTTCACAAAGGACCGTCATTTTAAAGAATAGTAGACAATATTTGACGAATATGGTGAACTGAGAAAAGAAACGGTGAAAGAATTGTATAATACAAATCACAAACAAAGTTCAGCGAACCCCCGTTTTCACAAAAGGATATAGGAGAAAAACTCGCCTCGGTCTTTATTAGGTAGTTAGACTGATATGATGCAGTGAGATGGGATCGTGACATTAATGAGAACGTGTGATGGTTATGAATTGCTCCTTGTCATGGGAGCAATCACATAGCACCATAGTAGGAGACAGAAGCAGCTAATCGCAGATAATGAGATCGAAACGCGGAGGGATCGTAGATGTCACGAGAACATCACCGAAGTGCCGGAGATGCGACCACGTGGACTGCGGATTCCACTGA